TGAAAATGATCTAAGTTGTGATCGAAAGCTCGAGTGTTTAAATAAATTCAGAAGAATTTTATTATGATTTTCATAGCAGTATTATACTTTATATTTAAAACTTTATTTCCAACTGCTCATTCAAATAGTTTTTTCAATATATAAATATTTTCGTACTCATCTCATGTACTCTCCATTCTCCAATGTACAACTTTCTATCCTGTATTCACTAAATTCAGTCGATGACTTGTCGAATGGAAATAACATTAAAGAGTACAAACAGTTATAATTCAGTTTTTTATTATGTCTTTTGGATTCTTTCACAGTTGGTTTTACTTGATAATGATCGGTTAAGGTCGAAATATCGTGAATAAAAAAAAAAACTAATCTCATTTTATTCGGCTGCTATAATTCTCAAAAGTTTTGCCGTTTGTTCGTCCATTGTTCAAACCTAACTCAAAATTCTTGCCATAGGCGTGAAACTGTATTTTATGCTTAAAAGTTCATCATGTGATGATTTATTTGTTTTTTCATCATGCTTTTAGATGACTAGAAATATTTAAAATATACCCTCTGTATTAAAAACTAATATTGGTTTTGATACATAATTCAATATTTTAATGTTTAATCTGAAACAACCTTATCGTCTAAAAAAGGAGAAGTTAGACCACTTTTTCAGACAAATATGTATGTATGGAACAGCTGTGTGATGGATGGTAGATGGGGTTTGTTACATGTGATAAACTTAACTAATTAAGACAAATCCATATGACATTTTACTTCCAGTAGATTGTGTATTGTTGAGTAAATCAAAGGTACGCTCGATGTATGGTGCCTGTTGATGACAAAAAAAACGACTGATTTAAATTAATAGAGTAAATCTTTTAATTGGATCATCGAAAAATTATTATGTACAGAGTAAACACTTTCCAATTATGTTTGAAAGGGTTATTGAAGAAAAGCCGTAGAAGAAAAAAAAATTCTAATAAATGTTTGTCTTTTCTCAAGTTTTATTAGTTTTCTACTATTTCGAAAATGTTAAAATCTTTTCTTTTCTTTTTCGTTTCTTTATTAAACAACATCGTATCGACTACTAACACATTCACATGTCGATACTTGCACCAGACTGATTATTTCGGTGTAAGTAGTTGTTTTTATTGCCACAAATCATGTCAACTTAAGTATGTCTGAAAAGTATGAGATGGATTATTTTTACCCTATGACATGTTTTCTCACAAAAGAGAAAATATTCTTTTTGAATATTTTTTGGAATTTTTAGAATTCAACGTAAGTATTACAATAAAAATAGATAATGAAAAATCAGTGAATGCATTTAACTGTAACATTGCACAGCTTACATAATGTTTTGTATTACACACATGTGTAATGACTGAAATAGTCGATGGTCAAATTAGTTTTTGTCTTACAGTCACTTTTTCGTTACAGAAAAGCGCAAGCCTTAAAAATGTTTTCAAGGTTTGAGCCTTCCTGTAACGAAAACAGCGGTTGTAAGACAAAAGGACGGGATCCAAAATCCTGTAGATATTGGCCCATTCTCAAAATGTTTTAATTTCAAAGTAGATCAATGGAGAATTCAATTCTATGTAATTTTCTGTAGTTTTCGGAGCTTTGAAAATGCATTTTGTTGCAAAAAGAAATTATAATATGTTACCAACGTTTTTGACGCTGAATTGCTAGATGAGGTAGGATTAAGGTGAAAAACTCAGATGAGGTCCCCCTCTACGGAAAAAAACTAAAAATGCCCATATAGTTGCCACACAGGTAATTTTTGATGAAGAAACGAAAGTTTTGCTAAAATCATGAATAGTACATCATTCGACTCAGTTTTTAGCGCTGATTACGAATATCACCTTTATTTTGCTTTGAAAACGATCCTTGATGGGAAAAATTTGCGTGTATTCCCAACATAATACTGATTTTGAGTTGCGTTGAACTTATTATCGCGATTTCACCATGATTCCAAACTTTTAACCTAATTATTTATGCATATTCTTGTAGCTCTCTGCACGGACCACTCATTACACTAGGAATGGTTTATGAGTAAAGCTTGAATGGTACAGAAACAGCGAAATACCGTGACAAATAGCCCTAAAAGTTAGATCCAAAGTGGTTTTTTGATAAAAAGTAACGGTTAGTTTTACTTTCAAGTATTCCTTCGCACATATTCTTGATCAGCTCGTCGAGTTCTATCGATTGGCATATTTGAAAAAAGCTTCCATTCTCATTTCCTATCGAATTAGTTAAATTATTAATAGCAATTCAGCGTCAAAAACGTTGGTAACATATTATAATTTCTTTTTGCAACAAAATGCATTTTCAAAGCTCCGAAAACTACAGAAAATTACATAGAATTGAATTCTCCATTGATCTATTTTGAAATTAAAACATTTTGAGAATGGGCCAATTTCTACAGGATTTTGGATCCCGTCCTTTTGTCTTACAACCGCTGTTTTCGTTACAGGAAGGCTCAAACCTTGAAAACATTTTTAAGGCTTGCGCTTTTCTGTAACGAAAAAGTGGCTGTAAGATAAAATTTATTTAGTTCAAACAACTCGAATTTAAAATATCAGAATGAAATTATTTTTGATTTATACATAAAAGAGTTAATTTTTTAATAAAATTGAATTGGTACATCGAAAAAGTAGAAAAGAGACTTTAGATGTGCACAACGTCTTTTTTTAAACACAATTATTCTTTTCTTACGTTATTTCTCTAAAATTAGAAACCAATACATTTTTTTACTTTATCGTTTATTCTTTCTTTATCACTAATAATATTATTGCAAGAATTTGTGGTATTACTCTTTTTACTGCTTACTAATTTGTTTTGAAATAAATGTTATGGATGAGAAAAAGTAATAATAATTTTTTTCATCTTAATATAATACTTATCAACGTTGTATGCTTAATACGTACGAAAAAAATCAAAATCAATTCATTCAAATTTTACAATATTCATACGTAAAGAAATGGAGTGTGAATAACAATATAGAATATTAATTATATTAAACCAGGAGCAGAAGAAACTAAAAATTTTTTTCTGACTGAAAAAAGAAAAATTGAAATGTCTTACAGGTAAAGTTTGTACGTTGTGCATATTATTAGTAATACATTTGACAAGTGTACTTTAAATAAAACAAATATGTAAGATGACTACTATCATTCTCAATTAAATCGATGAATCAATGAGAGTGAGAAAAATCGAAGTGTAATCTCTTTACTCTCTGTTACAAAATTGTACATTGAGCGTAAATAATTTCTAGTGCGACATAAAATTATTGCTCATAATTATAAATCAAGAAAAATAGTTGTTACCTTTTATAATATGCGTGTATAATGCACAACTTGAGATTATTTTTTATAGGAAAAACAACCACTTAATACAATTTGTTATTTAGTCAAAAATATGCTGAATGTGATATGTATAAGGTTGTTTATGTTAGCATTTCGAAATATAATTATATTTTCATTGTTCGTTGACTTCTAGGAACATAGATCATTTCATAACTTGTTTAATATTTTTTTCTTGAAGAAATAATTAATAAGTATAGATGATAAAAATATAACCACGAATATAGATCCACCATAACAATGAATGATTGTATGATAAAATGAATATTTTTTATACTGATCTCATTTTAGATCATGATATGAATAACATATTAATCATTCAGAATGCTTTCCTGTTTGTTTTTAATTAGTTTATTGATACAACCTGGTAATAGTACATGCATTCACTAAGAATTTATAATTCCTACGATGATTTTAATCTTGATTTTCAGGTGTAAATCAATATTTGGGTTGTTTCATTGATCAAACTGATGATCGTGATTTAACTACATTCGTTGACCGTTTAGATGAATTGACATCAGAAAAATGTATATTAGCGTGTCAAAAACAAAATTTTCCTTATGCTGCTGTACAATATGGAAATGAGTGTCGTTGTGGTGCAAAGTATGGAAAATATGGACAAGTGTCGGATACTGAGTGTAGTTATCTTTGTTTATCACGGCAATCTGATGACAAATGCGGTGGAGATAATAGAAATAGTGTATATAGTACAGGTATACTGAGAACAGGTAAGATCGATGATTGAATACGCCTGTTTGTGATTGAGAATAATTTCGATATTGCAGATGTATCGGATTCATGTATGAATGATGTTGCTGGTTATCAAGGATGTTATGAAAGAATAACATTGGGAATTTCAATTGGTCTGGTGGTTACTATTCAAGAGTGCATAACTAGTTGCAAAGAATATCCATATTGTGGTATTATGAATGGAAATTTATGTTATTGTGCCATAAGCGATATTAATTGGTCATTGAAAACGCATCCAGCGCTGTGCAATATACCGTGTTCAAGTGATATTACTAAATGTTGTGGTGGTCTTGAATTATTTAGCTTGTATGATGTCAATGATTACTGTGAGATACACGAAATTAAGCATGTACATTTTCTTTATCTTTCTTATTTACTTTTAGACGCAGCTGATACTGAGTATGGAATATTAAATAGAGTTAGAGGTAATTTCGCAAATATGGCAGTACCGTATTCAGACCATATTCTGAAACGAACTTGAATTGTGACTTGTAATTGATATATGACCATATTAGCGTTCACGCATTACAATTTTTTCTAGTGAGAAGAGCTGTTGCGACAGGTAAGAGCTTCTTCGTTGTGTTTTCTATTGCTTTTGACGTTCTGTTTGCTCATACTATTTAACGCTTTGTTTTTCAACGTTAAATGTCCTCTGTTATGATAACGATTTTTGTTTTGTAGTTTACAATGTAACTATAATTTGAATTAACAAAGTAACAATCAGTTCTTGCTTTTCGATGGTTCTTTTTGGTTTGATTTTATTCGTGCGATATAATACACTAATTTGTGTGAGTATTTATTTTCAAGTTAAATATATATTTGTACTATTCTGCATTACCAATAAAGAACTAAGATTGAGCTGTGTTATTAGTATATGCTGTTAATGTCGTGACACATCGAACTATGGACGTTCTAAGTAATAAACATTTTCTAATCTTATTTTTTACAGATATGCCTGCAACATCAGTCAGTGGTGCAACCTCGGTAGTATCAGCATCAATAAACTCTATACTGGCTACATCAGTCAGTAGTCCAACTTCGATATTATCAACATCAGTAAACTCTACACTGGCTACATCAGTTAGTAGTGCAACCTCGGTAGTATCAACATCAGTAAACTCTAAACTGGCTACATCAGTCAGTGGTGCAACCTCGGTAGTATCAGCATCAGTAAACTCTAAACTGGCTACATCAGTTAGTAGTCCAACCTCGGTAGTATCAACATCAGTAAACTCTAAACTGGCTACATCAGTCAGTAGTCCAACTTCGATATTATCAACATCAGTGAATTCTACACTGGCTACATCAGTTAGTAGTGCAACCTCGGTAGTATCAACATCAATAAACTCTAAGCTGGCTACATCAGTCAGTAGTCCAACTTCGATATTATCAACATCAGCAAACTCTAAACTGTCTACATCAGTCAGTGGAGCAACCTCGGTAGTATCAACATTAATAAACTCTAAACTGGCTACATCAGGCACAATCCATACCGCTGCTACCACCAACGGTTCATTAGGTCCAACATCTACTACCTTGCCTTCGTCATCTTATTATACAGCTCTTAACAGTCGATACTCTACGGTAATATCAGTCAGTACGCAACGTTCTAACGCGGCAAATCAAACATTCTCAGTCGCATCGAACCCAACATCATTCCGTAGTACATTATTGTCTAATTCTACCATATCTAGCTTCTCATTGAGTGCAAGATCGGTTACTTCTTTTCCTGCATCGGTCTCATCTATATTTTCGTCTGTTAGCCAGCAATCTTCATACTTGGCGACTGGAAGCCAAGGTAGTGCTCAGACACAGGTACGCACAATTTCTAGAAGTGTATCTACACCAAACTCGCCTTTATCCATTACTTATTCAACATCAACCATTCGTGGGACAAACTCAATGGGGACAATCAGTTCAACTTTTTCCAGTATAATTTCAAGAATAAGTCAAACTAGTGCATCGACACGGTATCTAACTACCGAGAGTAATTTTTCTACACACGGTTTAATCAGCAGTTCTGGAAGATCTACTAGCGCTACTTTGTTAGTAAATACAGTATCGTCGCTTTCAGCAACGTCTGGGAGAAGCATTAGTGTAGCACAAACAATATCGTCACAACTTTCCAGTCGGTCATCATTAAATTCACAATCAACAATCGTTCAATCGTCACAAAAGATAATGACGGATACTACTTCTCAACAACGATCCATATCGCCAACTCCACTATCAACAACTTATTCGTCGAATCAGAACGCCATTTCTGCTTTGTCTTCAAATTATGTTTCATCTACAATCAAATCACAAACGATTACAACACCCAATCAACAATCAAACTCAGGTATGTAACTTGGTTCGTAAAATAGACCTTAAACGAAGATCATTCTTATTCGATTGATTTTTCTTGCTTTCTTTCAAATAAGTTATGAGATTTTCTCCTTTCTCTCATACAAGATTATGGGTTGCAAAAATTGTGGTTGTATATGAATAAAAACCTTTGTTCTATTCATTGTTTTTTCTTTGCATAGAAATAACATCTCAAATATCAAGTAGTACATTAACATCGATGTCATCCGGTATTCTGTCTTCAGCATCTTCAATAGTATCTGCTACTTCGGTAGGAATTAATACTTCGCCGTTGCAGCAAAATATTAGTTCTTCTGCGATAATTTCAATTGGTGCAACTTCAGCTCTAACAACATTATCGATAACACTAATGAATGCAACACTAACAAGTTCAACAGGTATTGCTTATACAAGCGCAACACCGACAAGCACAAGTACAGCAGCGTCGTTCAATGTAATTGTCACAGGTATCCAAATTATTTTTTTTTATCAAATATATTTCTTGATGCAGACTACCTATTACAAATTTGTCCTCCAATATCAGTCACTAAGTGAGCAGCATTTTTTTTTGCATATGAATTGTTGTTCTGTTCAAGTTTAAGGAGTGAAAATTTCTTTTAAAACAATTTACAGACGCGCTCTGAAATTTCAATTTTTAACTCTCAAGTTAAACTATTTTTCAAATTTTTTTTGTCCACTATATAGCTGAGAGCTTGTTCTTTTGAATAGTATAAAAAAACAAGTCTTTACTGTATTGGAATTATTTAGAAAACCGATAAAATTCAACTGAAAAAAAGGATCTTCGCCCAAAAACCCCTGTCCCCTTCTTTTGTTCGAAAGCTTGAATTTCAGGCCATTTTATCCGCCACATCGCGGAACACAAATCCACATATCCTTTTCTCGAAATACTTTTTCTTTCTTGAGATATTGAATTTCCATTAAAGCATTGCAGTTTCCACCTAAAATCGGGCAGGTCATTTTGCAATAACTTTACTATCAGATGAGGCGCATATCTCCATTTTATGAGAAAACTTGATAACAGGGTTTTCGAATCAGAATCTTTTGGTAATTTTCACTCCCCTTGTAGCCATTGGTAAATGGACTGCAGTGGGTGAAAAAAATTCTGATGGTTAGGACACACTGTACTACATATATAACGCCCAAACACTTTGGCATATCTTTAATGACTAACTCCATCTGTCTAGATATTTTGACCAGCTCAGTTTGTAGAGACTTTCATGAACTATCAAATGGTATTCTTTTACAAAATATATAGTTTTTCATTAAGAGAGAAAAATGAGTAAATGACTGTCCCACAGGCGTTTTCCGTAAGTCCAACGCGTTTTTTGCATGTTCTTGATCAGCGGGCCGACCGATCTGGATCGTCTGACTAGTTCAGTTTGTAGAGAGTTTCACTGGCTACCCAACAGTATAGTTTTGAAAAATATATATGAAGAAATGAAAAAGTTATTGCAAAATGACCAACGGTATTTCATCTTTGAATTACGCGCGCCTTACTTTGAAGCCGTCATTCAAGAAAAGTAAAACACTAAAAAGCTAGCTCTCGTAGTTTACTGCCATGTGTAAACTCAAAGGCCAACGCGAACTCACTATCCTTTAATTTGACGGAGAAACACTGGAAATATGAACAACTCTTTCTTAGCTCATATATATAGTGACACCGTGTAAAATTTCTTTCCTAACCACACTTTGACACGATCAAGATTTCGTCACAGTTTTGCTCAGATCAGTATTGCACTACAAGAAATATGTCTTTTTGGTGTCTTCAGAATTCCGTCCAATTAATGCAGACTTATATAATAGTACTGTTATTAGTCAGAACTATACATTGTTGATAGCAAAGCTGAGTGTTGTTATTCAGCAAGCATTCCTGTGCATAAACGATGCGACGAATACAAACGGCTATTGTACGACTAGTCGAAGACGAAAACGTGAATCAGTTTGTGTTTACCAAATTAATCTAACTCCACCTTATGTACTACCAGTAAGACGTGATTCTTCACTGGAATGAGCGAACTGTTGACCTATACACCATTTTTTCCTTTAGTCAGCCAGTGCTAATTACTATATTGTATACTATTATGTGACGCTTTGTAACAGTACGGTTTTTGGTCCCACTGTGATCAATGCTTTAAATAAACTTTCGCCAAGTGCTGCGTCAACGTTATTAGGCGGTATCATTAAACAAACTGGGCTTGAATCAAGTTTAAATGACACTGCTACAACAGCACCAATAGATAGAAAGCTTTGGTTAATTGGTGCTATAATCGGTCCAGTTGCATTTGTTGTGATACTCATTTTAGCTCTTTATTATTTACATACCAAATGTCGTACAAGAACAGGAGTTAAGAACAAGGGTGATGTTATACAGGTATGTAGAAATATTGTTTCGAATAAAACCGATGTTTTCAAATTTTGTAGGCTATCGCGAATGAACCATTGTCGTCACGATATGCTATTGACGACTCGGTAAGTACCATCTGAATTATTTCACAAAATAAGTGCAAACATAGCTTGTTTACTTTATTCAGAATTATCGAAGTATCAATCAACAATCTCAAGAACAAAGTCCGCCGCGTCTTCTAGAACCTCAAAATAATAATCCATTAGATTCTCGGCAAAGATCACATGATCTACCAGCGACAAACGCACAATCAAGTCAATTACAGTCGTCATCCCCACCACAGTCAGAGCAAATATCACAGTTTCCTGTATCATCTAATATTCCGCTCCGTGTCACCAATAGTATTCAAACTAAAAATGACGCTGGACAATTGAGAAACCAGGTATGTATGCAATAAAAACTTGTAGTAAATAGGTTTTCCTTTCTTCTTCACACACGAATAGTTCCATGTTTTATAGAAAATGTATCAACCACCGTTCACTGATCTCAACAATTCAAGAGACACGCGGCCGTTGCTGAATTCAAGTAAGTGCTATTATTTGTTCAAACGCAGTTTATATCAATATCAAAGCGTTGACCTATTCCGCCAAATAATGTTTTCCTACAATCAGTTGAATTACTAATTTCTGTCAACAAGCTCACATTTCGAAAGTATATAGAATAATATCGTATTTCTTAACATCGATAACAACTACGGATATTTCAAACTTAATTTAAGTTTGAATTCAAAAATTCACTATCTTGTTTCTTAGACAGTACTTTTCTTTCATCTAAGGCAAACATCACTAAAAAGGCTCAACGAAATCTAAAAGTTTTCTATCGATCACAAAAATGCAACAGAGATTCATTGTACTCATTTTCGAATTTCTCTGGTCGATTACTCTTCTCCTAACTTTTAACCATTTTAAACACGAAAGAACGTAAACGATCGAGTTTACAAACAGTTGGTGTTAAACTGTCGAACGTTCGGGTTCGAAACATCCCTAATAAAAACCACTTATTTTGAAACCCAACAAAGATTACTATTGTTTTCTTTTATAATTTCTGTTTTTGTATTAATGTACAACTGTCTTTTCCTTTTGTTAAAATAATAAGAGTTTACATAGTCCATTCAATAGACAAACAGCCAAGTCCCTAGTAAAAGTCTTAAGAGTTTCCTGATAGGATCTACTAGGATTTCGCTTTAAGTTCTTAAAATTCTAACACATTCTACAGAATTCTAATGAAATCAGGTATACCCGAAAGTCATAGACTTTTCTAAGATTCTGTTAGGATCCTAAATGCTAGGATACTGTAAGATCAATTAATTAGATTATTAATTAGATTATATGAATCAATTAATGAAAATAACAGTTCCAGTGATGAGTGATGAATGATCTCCAATTAAATTCTATAAACCTGGTGTACTAAATTGATTTAAACTATCATCAAATTCTATAACAGTTTCAATCGATCCATCAGTAAAATAAGCACGTAGGAGAAATATGTAAAACATTACAGGCTAACAGTTATTCATTTACTAAACTGATTAGATATAGTCGTGTTACGATTTGTTGTACTGGATATTATACATGGCATCCATGTTCTCGAATTATTTTTATTTAAAGCCGCATTGTTATCGGCATTGTAGCCTACGAAAATCTTTCCATAATACTTTTCATCCATTATATCGTTACTAGTTGTACGCATTAGGAGTGGCACTTTCCCGTTATCGTTACTGTAACGGGAAACGAAAATCCGTTACCTGTCAATCAATACAAAAGCGATCCGCCGATAGATGTGACTGGTGGTCGCCCCCGATGACGAAATCTTTCAGAGGCCGCGTTTGCATTGATTGTGACGCCCCTACAGACTCGGTGACATCTCTCGAGCTCCTTCATCATTCGCTTATAATTCTGTCAATTTATTATCTGAGGTATCCCCCGGATCCTGTTACCCATTACTATTATCGATGACAAAAAGCAGCTTCCCTGGCTATTTTTTGAATAACTTTTGACAGAAAATGGATAGCGATCTACGGTTTTCAGATTCTAAAAATAGACACTTTCTCACAACTATCACTAAGTAAAACTAGTTTTGAAACTCTTCAGAAGATCCTGTTTATCGACAATCTTTGGAAGACAACGTTATGGTTTCTGAAATTAAAATAGCAACCTATCAATTTTCGGAAAGAATTAGCCGTCGTGGAAAACTAAGCAAAATCCAGAGTTTGCTTAGATCTAGATTTAAAGAAGACACTTCAGACTACTTACCTATCGAAAAAAATTGATAGGTTGCTATTTTAATTTCGGAAACCACAACGTTGTCTTCCAAAGATTGTCGATAAACAGGATCTTTTGAAGAGTTTCAAAACTAGTTTTACTTAGTGATAGTTGTGAGAAAGTGTCTATTTTCAGTATTCGGAAACTGCAGATCGCTATCCCTTTTCTATCAGAAGTTATTCAAAAAATAGCTAGAGAAGCTGTTTTTTGGCGGCGATAATTATAACAAGTAATGCAATTTTGTTACCGTTACTAGTAAGTAGTAACGGAAAATCGTTACTTTTCAGAGTAAAGTAATGAAAACTAATGGGAATGTGCCACCTCTTGTACACATTACTCTTGTTCTGATATTTAGACAGCTTGAAATCGTACAGTCATTAGTTCTATTTTCATTATCGCTTATCATTAATGACTGTATATTCACTTTTTTGAGATGCACTGACAATGACAATGTAGCAAGTAGATACATGTTGTGCAAAATATTAATACATGACTATCGTAAATACTAACCTGTAAATGAGATTATGTAGAATAATTATACATTTCTTTTTATAGTACGATCGAATGAAATTCAAACAGAGCGATATAAATTACATCGTCTTCTGGATGAAGTACTTAATAAAGCCGATAATAATTCGACAAATCCTAATCCACCCACTGATAGAGTTGATTCGAATCTTTCCGGATTAAGATACAATCAGTACTATGCAGATGATCGTGTAGAAATTCACGGTGAACCCTATCAAGAATCTGATTGGCGTCAGAATGATCGACCACAAGCTGCCGGTATAAATCTTCGGCAGCATACACTTGATGATGCTGGTATCTATCCTGGCTCGATTCGACCAAGTGCTAGAACATTGTATAACGATCCAGAATTATACAGAAGGCAAGTGATGCGAGCACGAAATAGGAATAATCTAGATAGTGATAATAGTAATCGGTTTCATTTAAATTCCTATGATACAGGTTATACTTCTGATCGAAGACAATGATTATTGAGGTGAATATTGAATGGTTAAACAAAGTGTTATTAGTATGAAATGCTTGATATTATCAATACAAGATAACTTACAGAATAGTGTTGGTTATCCGTCCTTCGATAGACATAAAGTATAAATGAAATATTGTTAAAAATTATTCTCACAGATCTTATCTATAAAGCGTATGTTGTGAAGAATCGATTTTTTCTAGTTTTCTTGTAATGTTTTGTTAATACTTGTTTTGTTTTATTTGTACGACGTGAGCGTACACAGTGAATTTAGGTGTATGGTAATCTTGAAATGTGTTTTTATGGGTGTAACAGAGGTTGAAACGAGTCAATTTTCTTTTGTTTTGCGCTCTGCTCGACTCGGTTCAATATAAACTCGGTTCAACTCGACTCGACTCAGTGCAGTTTCAGTTTTTTTAGGGAAAATATTTTTCGTTTGATAAAATACAATTATTTAACTTATTTTTAAGTTAATAACAATGCGTACATGAAGCAATTCAGCAACTGATTCGACTTCATCATTGACTGTTTTTTGTGCTGAAAATCCAAACGTTTTCCAATATGTGATAGACACTCTTTTCCTTGTACTATTAACAATTTTCTATTCGTCTTTTTTATTCATTAATAATCGTTTAATTTTAGAAGAATCAAATCAGTAGATTTTGCGGAAGAAGATGATGGTGTTGATAAATTCTCAGAAGCCATTTTTTTCAGAAATATAAACAATTCGTTTCAGTTTTCGATCGGTAATGGAAAAGGTAGAATGAATGATCAATCACAAATGTTTGTCCAAATCGCGAACAGCTAGCTTTGTCGCTCTACAGCTTTGTCAATAAGAAAGAGATTGTGCATTTTACCTAATTAAGTTTTCCTTTCCGGACTTGGCGAGACTCGACTCGACTCGTTTTGAATTCGATGCAACCCGACTCGACTGTATTTTCAAAAAATTGAATGGACTCAACTCAGTACGAGCTTAGTCGAGTCGACTATTCGTCATTCCTGCTTCTCGTATGCAGGTATTTATGATCCAAGAATGGATCATGAGGATGGTGAGTATACAGTAATGGAAAAAATTATAGAGCCACTGTATTTTTGAAATTTTTCGATGAAGCCGAGTAGCTAGGTCAAATCTGAATAGTGATTTCAATAGCCCTTGAATTTCTCTGTCGAATGCACTATCCGTCAAAATTCCAGGAAAAAGGTTTTGAAGTTTTCTAGAAAGCGGAGCTCTAACGAGGGAAGTAATATCACCATGACTGCTGCTGCTAGGCCTTTAAAGACCGATTTTCTGAAAAACCAGTTTTCGAGAAACTCTAAAGAAGAACCAAAAGCTTTCTTAATGAGGTGTTTCTGATTGAAACGAAGCAACTCCCAGCTCTACACGACCTTTCGTTGCAAAGTTATAGAATTTACAAGAAAAATCCTAAATGTTCATTGTCACCTCAGAGCTACAGCAAGAAAAAGGAATTTAGGGCTTTTCTTGTAAATTCTATAACTTTGCAACGAAAGGTCGTGTAGAGCTGGGAGATGCTGCATTTCAATCAGAAACGCCTCATTAAGAAAGCTTTTAAGTTTTTAAAGTTCTTCTTTAGAGTTTCTCGAAAACTGGTTTTTCAGAAAATCGGTCTTTGAAGGCCTTGCAGCAGCAGTCATGGTGATATTCGGAATCAGCATCGTCGACCACCTATAGTCCAATATGTTTCGTTCAAAAAGCGATTTATTAGTTGAGGTACTTCTCTTGTAAGTCCTAGAGAATTTTGCTAAAAATATGTTCAATATAGCTGTCTAAAAGAGCATAAAATTCTGAACAAAACGAAGCGTCACACAGCTCTCCACTATCTTTCGTTGCAAAGTTACAGGCATCAGACAATCCAGAGTAATGTGCTTCTGCTTGTTTTTTAGGCGATTTTTAGCATTTTTTTTCTTTCTTAAATTATACTAGTTCTATAGATTTTCTGATGCCTGTAACTTTACAACCGAAAACGTTTTTTCTCGAAACATGCTGAAGTTGTATCTCTTATTCTGTATAAAACCTTTTTATATCTCCCTTTATCGTAAATGTAGACAGATGTATTTCTTTTATATTCTGGATTTCTGGGTTTCAATTTGATTATTGTTATGGAGAATGTGTTAAGCATTTCTAGAATTGTTGCTAAGTTGATACGAGCTGGTTTAAAACAGTCGGTTTACAAGGTAAACGTTTACGGGTATTAATCATATATTGATCGTGCTCTTTTCGTTCGTACTCGTCTTATTATTAAATAATCATGTTTCATTTGTCTTTTCAGCAGATTTCAAACTTTCATTTACCAAAATCGAAAGATTATGATAGTTATTAGTTATTTCTGAAATTTATGAGAATCGCTTCGGGAGACTCTAAAAACGGATGTCTCATACTCGATTACTGTGTGCTATCGTCAGCCATCAAAATGTTATGATTCTGAAGAAATATGTTCAACAAATTTTCAATATCTTGTTCAGTAGTCAAAAATTTTGTTTGCATTTTATCTTCATGTAATGAATATAATGATTCATAATGAGTACTATTATAACAAAGATAAGTGAACTGTCCGTAACTTTGGTTCATCATATCGAATTATTCTCCTGTCATGTGACAAATCAATCACAAAATTTAAGTGTATATATTTTAGGCAATATACAGGTTGTCTATCAGTCTATCCAGCTATTTTATTTTTCAGTCTAGTTACAATATGTCGGAATGGATGGATAAAATGCTGAACATGGGGATAATTACGTGGGGAGACATAAAAAAAGTTTTATATAGAATGATACACAGCGGCAAATATTAAGCTCTTTAAAGAAAAACTCAGAGACAGGTATTATTAAATTATTAAAGTTTCATAATCTTGCTGAACATCCACATGTATAATGAACCAATTGGCAAATACTGTTATGAAAAAGTTGGCAGAATATATTAAAAATGGTGTTTTAATTTAAGCAAAACCCAAGGTTCGTCATACAGAAGAGCAGATAGCTATGAAGTAATTCCAGGTTTGCATGCAATGAAGGTTCCTTCCTTGAAGGGATCGTTACAGTTGATGTTACTGTCATACATAGTCCTTACCCAGATCCAGCTCGATATATATATTCGAATGGAACGGTGAAAATCAATCACTTCTCTGAGAATAAGTAATACACATGGTCCAGCAAATGTCAAACAATGGAACGATCGCACCAGATCAAGAAAATTTTTTTATTGAAGTAACAAATACCAAAACAAAAAAGTATATGGTATTAGAAAAGTAATAACTGGTGGAAAGAAAAATAATAATCTACATTCCACATGAACATGTGAAAAAATGAATTTCTCTTAACATAACATTGATTTAGTTCTTTTATATAAAAGTTCTATTTCTTGTTTAACATAAGTTAAAAAAACATTTTATTTTTCACTTTTAATTATTCTTATTACTATGTCTACGAAAAACAGACCGATCTGTAATCTGCCTATTATTTATCTCTCCTACTGCAACAGATACAGCTCTACGAAAGAAGCATAAACTAAAATTTATCTCTTATAATCTTAACATTCGGAAACAAAGATTTGTCTTCAAGTAGTTCAACTGGACTGCCAGAAACGTAAATATATTTGATACGATTAAATAACAGTTGTACTTGTTCACCAAAATCTTGTGTTTTCAATTCTAATAATAAGTCACTGTGTACATGTAACTCAACAATATTTGGCATCATTACTAATACTCGTTTCAAATATTTATAATCCACTATTTTCTCTATGCGAAATATTAGGCAGTCGATATTTTCTAGTATAAATTCATTATTATTCATTAAATCATCATTTAAAATATTCACTGGAGGACTAAAGAATTGAAGTACCCTTGCTTTTACAAATGTTTCTTCAATAAATTTAAATAACTCTAATGTAAATGGTACTGTATCATATAAATCTATTTCTTTCAACTTGTTTCGTCCATTATATATCGAAATATCACTGATGTTTGATCTATAATTTACAATATCATTTGATGTGAAAATCATATAACTGAATGGATAAGGTAATGAAAAGATACAATAATGGCTACGACGGTACGCTATTTTAAAACACAAAACAGGATGATTAAGCCAATAAGACGATTTGTATGTTTCAATGTACTCATCAATGTTCATCATCGTCACATTTGGAATACGAAAGCAAAAATGAGATTTTGTTAATTTTGATAACAATTTTGCTTCTAAACTATAGCCATCGATAAACTGGCGACTATCTAAATGCAATGATAAACACTCTAGATTAGAACATCGAGATAATAAGGATTCCAAAGAATTATAATCTATGGAAAAAATAGAAACGAAGATAAATTCTTTTAATTTTGGTAATGATAGAATATTAGCATAATTTTCTTGGTGATTTCCATGACGTATAACTCTGAGTAATTCAACATCCAAGTATTCAATCAATGATAAATTCATTAATAAAACATTTAAATCATATTGAGAACGTAATATTATTTTTAATCTTCTAATAGAACATGGTTGGATACTATCGGTATTAACAGTGAAGTAAACATGAAGGAATATTAATGATTGTAGCTGATAATTTGATTGAAATAAATTTGAGAATATCTCATTTGACAACTTTTGCTCACATAGTTGATTATCAAAATACATTTTCAAATTACATAATTCTTTAAATGAACTTAGATAAGATAAATATTTGCCATTTATTTCAACGACTTCTGTTATTGAGAGTGAACAAAGGTTTGGATATGCTGTTGGTAAGGGAAGAATACGGTAAATATTTTTATCATCAAATTTAATTATTTTTACATGATGTCGAATTTTTGGTAAAATTTGCTGACAATATCCATCCAGAATATGTTGATCAATAGCGGATAAATCAATTGCACATAAAAATGGTGAAACAAGGCGGTCAAAACGAGAATTTAAATTGAAGAAGGAGTAGATAATGTCAATCGATTTCAGATATAGAACAATAAACTCGTAGAGTTCATCTGGTAGTATTGATTCTAGTGTTGATACCTAAAAAAGTTATAATTTACATTCTCTTGTGCACACAGGGCTTGGAAAAACGTTTGTTGACTGTCATCAATCTTAGACGAATTATAGACATGACACTATTTGACTATTTAGTTTATACACAGAACTTTACGTACTCTGAACGAAGAAATGGCATTGAGAGCTTCCATTATCAATATACTGCTAATAATTAGGGGTGTTAATTTAGTGTTACTTTGAAAAATTACTCTTGAAATTTCTTAATACAAGATCTTGGCCAAGATCTTGAGTGACAGATTCAAGAATCCAAGATCTTGAAACATCTTGGCTTACGCCACCCAAGATCTTGAAATTTCTTAACCCAAGATCTTGAGTGAAAAATTCAAGAATCCAAGATCTTGACTTCTTTGTGTTTTTTTCTAAGATCTTGTGACATTTCTTAACCCAAGATCTTGAGTACAAGAAGTTCCACTAGAGTGATCTATACAAACATTCTTTTCACTATTTGTTATACGGATAATAAGGTGAGAGAGGGGTAAGAAAGAAAACCAGGCACATATGCATGTTTTTCAATTCATTTCATTGTGCACATACGGGCATATTAGATATAAATAGTCAGAGAATGAACAGACAGATAAAAGGGAGAGAGAAACGTGCATATCATGCTGGATGAATGAGAAATAAAGAAAGAAGATTAAGGTGAGGGATTCACGAGGGCAAAAGTCCAAATAATGTTTCTGTGTTTGGCGCTTTATACATACAGATAGAAAAATGTCATAAGTAAATACATACACGTGCTCATCTTTGCTTTCACGTACACGAAGGATTATAAAAGAAAATATTTTGCTTTAAAAAGTATAAAACACTAGTTGAAAATAACAGAAAAATTATCAAAGAATTAGAAACCAAACAATTTTTTGTTCGTAATTTGGCGTCTTATATGTGTTTCAAAGAAACATTGTATGTTTTGGTCGTTTCAGCGGCGCCACCCAATTCACGGATTAATGAAACGTTAGCTATTCTTTAGCCTCAACCAGTTGATGCTAAAAATTATGTATGTCATACTTTGCACTAACTACATTCTATCTCTCTGTTTACTTTAGAAAATACCATTAGCACCAGAAGTTTTACGCTCATGCTTAAAGAAAACTCCAACATTTACTGCAAGTGAAATTGTCAAATGTTTGTTTCCTGATCAAGAAAAATTAAGAACATTGAAAGCATCTGATTTAAATCATGAATTATTCGGTTCAATAATGGCTAACGTTAAACTTTTTTAAAGACGATAAAAAAATACAAAATGTTGATTAAACCTTTTCAAGCATGGTTTCTCTTTCAAAACTTCTTATGCAAAAAGAAAAGCGCGCTTGAACCTTACCTAATGACTCTTTTGCTCGTTTCTATTTTATCTAGCTGTCTGGTCAACGAAGGTGGAACTGTGTTGCTACAGTTTACCCAAGCGTTAGTGTTTTCATCCTTTTGCTATCTTTTCCAACTTTAGAATACCCCAAAGGTTGTTTTCCGCCACCAGTTGTTGTTGAGTAAAATCAAAGAAATCATTACAGATACTAGTGCAAAAGCTAGACAATCAACGGGATTCCTTGCTTTGAAAGTTTTAGAACGTTCAAAACGCGCTAATAGTCGAGACTGGTCAAGAATAACGGCTGACGATGGAAATCACGATTCTGATCAAACGCTCTTATTGTCGGTTCAACCACCACCTTCGATACTCTTGAGTCAATCAGCAGTAGCGTCTGCAATCGTCAGGTGGAGCTGCGTCAACCTTAACTCGAACGACAACTCTCACAAGCGATGATCTGAATGCTTGAAGAACAACATCTAGAATTTACACAGTCAACCTTATCGACTAGTCGTGATGATAATACATATAGTCATTCAACGGCCTTAACCGATTCAACGAACACTTTAAAAATTAGTCAATTAGAACCAAAAGTTTAAAAAAAGGACATGCCAACATTCTCAATATGGAATTCGATGATATGAATACTGTCGACCAGTTATATTAGATGTTGATAATCGTGCGGCTTTATCTTCTCAGGAATATATTCATGCTTTAATTACTTTTGATGATGTAATTCATTCATGGGCTCTTCCTTCTTTAGGTGTTAAGATCGATGCAATTCCGGACGTAAAAAATCAAGTTGTTTTTACTACTTTAATAAATTCTATTATTCATGATCAATGTTCTGAAATTTGTGGTGTAATCATTCGTTTATGCTTATTGTTGTTAAATCTGTTTCTTTAAAAAATTTTGTTAATTTTTATTAATGTAGCTTGTGTAAAAAAGTATTGATTTTTTAAGTCAATGAATAATTAATATATGATGAACCCATTTCATTTATTAAAATTAAGAGTTTGACTATTTTTCGTTGCTATTATTGCATTTTTTTTCTTTTATTAGTTTTCATATGTTTGTGAAATTTACAAGAAAAGTATTTTTCTTGTTTATTTTAATAATGATTTTATGATTTAGAGATGTTAAACGTGAAAGAAATTGAAATGGGACATTCTACTTTAATGATCAATTTTTTAGAACTGGAATAATAAGTTATATTTTTTGTATCATTTTTTTAATGTTATTCTGATTACCGTGTTATATTTTTTGTATCATTTTTTTAATGTTATTCTGATTACCGTCTCCTTACGCCAGTCTATTGGCCCACAACACGGAAAGATGTGTACAAACACATCCTTCAATGTGCTTCCTGTCAGAAGTATAAGTATGCCAATCGACCGGCATCCGCCCCGATGCAGATGCACATTATCACTGAACTCTGGCACACAAATGGAGTCGACCTAATGAGTTCGTATCCTCGAACTCAACGAAGTAACAAGTTTGTGCTCGTAGTGGTCGACTACTTTACCCGCTGGGTAGAAGTGTTTCCTATGCACTCAACCACCGCCATAGAGGTCGGTGAAACCATCGTGAACGAAGTAATGTGTAGGTTTGGCTGCACTAAATACATACTGTCAGATAATGGGCCCCAGTTCGTCGCCGAAATTTTTAGATCAATTTGCAAAGATTTATCCGTCGACGGATCCGTGTCACAAAAACACTGGAACATCCCCAAACAAATACAACTGAACGAGTTAACAAAACTCTGAAGCAGATGATATCACAATATGCAGAAGGGAAGCCTACGGCATGGGATACGGAGCTTCAGAACCTGGCCTAAGCGATTCGAGCGTCAATGAATGAATCAACAGGAGAAACTCCTGCCTTTCTGAATATAGGTCGTGAACCCCGCCTCGCTCTAGACCTCCTTATCGGAGACACGGTAACTGAACCACCTAAAACTCCGCACGATCAAAAAAGTGTCACGAAGAGCTACCAAGATAAACTCCTACAAGATCTGAAGTATGCCTACGAAGTAGCCAGGGAGCATGCTCAAGTAGAAAAATTACCCAAAAGCGCTACTACGACCAGCACACTACTTCACAACAGTATATCAAGGGACAGTTAGTATGGGTGACCACGCCACATGGAGCACTTGTAGGCAAACTTCACCCACTTTGACAGGGTCCTTTCAAAATACAATCAACGCAGATCGTTTAAACCTTATTCCGCCCCACAAGTATCCATCACTCCACTTATGTCATCGATTCCTATAACTTCCCTGATGGATCTGGACATTAGCAGAAACCACTCAATGTCAGGCAAAATGCACAAGAAAAATACAAAACACATATGTACCTAGAAATAACTGAATAGCAATGGTTAGATCAAGAAGTTTAAGAAAGTATAATACCACCGTAAAGATCATATTCGGATGACCAAATTTATTTTCTTCCACACGATATTTCGACAGCTACTGCTATCATTATCAAGTGAAAAGAACTGACAGACTGTACAGCTAACAGAGATTCACACCATATATATATAAAGCACAAAGAGAGAAAACATGTGTTTACTTTCGAAGGAAACAGAAAAAAGAACACATTCAGAATAAGTTAAGTTTTTCTTTTCCTGTTCTAATAACACATGTACCTGGTCCAAACAATACTCCACACCCAAGACGTTCAACACGAGTGAGAAAGCCCACCACATGTCTCTCGTTATAACCACTAGATAACTAGATAACTGAAATGTACCTGCGTAAATAGATTAGTTTCGATTCTATATATGTATACAAATTTTTTTTTTGATCATGTACGGTGCAGGTGCACTGCACTTTTTTTCTTGTGGGGGCAGATGTGAAGGATAATACTGTTCGCTCTAAATCTGTATTTATATATGCTTCGTTCATTGTTTTAAATTCGCATGCATGATATGTCATTAAATATGCAATAGTAATTGTTGGTGATCTTGATATACCTGCTTGACAATGTATAAGCACGTTCTTGTTGCTATTCAATGAATTTTGAATAAATTGAAATGTTTGATCATTAAAATAATCGAATAAATTTGTCGAACATATGTCAAGACATGCCAAACGTAAATAGTTTATAGCAGATTCAAAATGACACGGGACACATGTTGTGACATTAATAATCGATTTAATGTTATTCTTTTCTAATATACCGTAATTTTTCGCATCATTTTCGTTTCCAAGGTAGAGTCCAGGTATTATTTCCGATAACTGAAAATTTTCAATATCTGACTTTGTTAGGCACGATTCGAGTATTGATGGTGACGTCAGATTGTATGTGTTACTGCTGCATAAATGAGAATATTGTACATAAAAGTCATTAAACGATTCACTTAAAATAAAAACAAGCTTCGACGAATCATGTCGTTTTATTTCGTCGTAGGCACATTTGGATGCTGGAGTTAATTGAGGGTACAATAAAATATCGTTCTCAAGAACAACAAATGATGAATAGCAGCAGGACAGACGATGTTGATCGATCTTATCTGCGAGAGTTGTGGTTACTAATGAAGTGGTACATGAATTCGTCCTACTATCATCCACTGTTCCATCCTCATAGAGTACAATAACTTCACTATCATCAATCAATTTCATTTGTGTTATATCAAGATAGTTTTTTAGACCACGTTTGGCTAAACGTTTACGAGAGAGTCGATCGGCAACATGTAATAAAATTGATTTACATATATGCTTTTCGTTATAACGAAATGGCGAACCACAATCAATTAAAGCAAATTTTATTGGCGATGGTGTCTCAAGATGTTTCGAAAGTTGAACTGATGTTATCACTTTGATTGGATCATCTGATCGAACTTCTTTGATTGTCGTTGGTTCACTTTTATAGTGACGTTCGACTGAGCGAAATACTGGCAAGGTTGGAGATTGTTCACATAACAGCATTATTGTTTGATTAGCAGTTGTTTATTTTGAGGAAAAAAATTTATATGTTCTGTTGTTTGTGTTATTGTTTTTGGTTATGTGAAGTGTAACGTTTGTTAATATTTAAATACTCTTGTGCAGCAATATGACAAAAGAAATTACCCAAGATGGGGAACAGAATATTTTAGTCCCATTAAATACCTTCTTTCTGTTCTCTAGCGTAATTACTCTTATGTTTGCTTAATGAGTCATTATTATTTGTAACGCTACACAAATAACAAAGGTAGAAATGCATGTAACTTTCCAAAGAGAACGTAATCCCTTACATAATGAGCAATAAGAGGCTTCTGAATAATCCAAAGTATACACATCATTCCTTTTCTGTTTCTTGAAAGAATCTCTAACGGCTATAGGGAAGTGACTGAAAGAAAAGAGACCAAATTCGTTTCTCATTCATAAAAGAGATTTTTTGAGAGAAATAAGTTACATGAAATATTTCACGCCTATGTAACGGGTTTTTCGTGATGCATGCTTGATTACTTTAACTGCATTGTAAAATGCTGAAGGGAAGAGTGAGGATGTCTAATTTTAAGTTAAATGTAATATATCTCTGCAAATGTGCAGGTCAATCGAAGAAAGACATAATCGACTTCGAAATATGACAAAATAATGTTGGTTATCTCTTTTTTTTCTCTTCGTTTGTGCGAGATTTACATACAATTTGTGACCATGATCAGAAATATTCTTAAGAAAAGTATGTTTCAGTGAAATAAGAATGAATCCTTTGGGAAGGTTTCCCCATTACCTCATAGATTTGTATAGTCTTGATTCATGCTGAGTGGTCTACTAGAAAATATGACAAAGTTTCAATCATGTCCAAGGATATATCTCTTCATACACTCGGCTAGAAATTGTGGGTGTTGTTCAAGAAATTAATGTGAGGTCAAATCGGGCAAAGTCTTTTCGTATTTTAAAGCTGTAACATTGTGTCTGTTTTTATTTTCTTGCAGAATTTCACTTGTTTTAATTATACCATACTGGTCAACTTTTTCGATCTACTGTCAACAGCGAATTTCTTTTTAAGTGAAAATCACTCTAGGAATAGCTGCTGGAAATACAGATTTTATCGAAATTATGGAATATACATTGCTCTTGCGCTGTAAAAAGAATGGTTCTCTATCCAACCTTTGAAGCTTTATACTTTTGAAACGAATTCGAAACCTACCAAGGTTCTGTTGAAAAAGCTTTCGTAGCAAACTCATACTTTTTTATTCAGAAAATTGGTCTGGTGGCGTTCGTTTATCAGAACCGTTTGTTTAATTTTTTGGACACTAAAGCATAAGTTCAACAGTCCATTCTAGACTCAAGATAGAGAATTTCCTGCTGTACAACACATACATAGAAAAGTCCACATCGCTGCGACTTCTCGTTTCTAGTGGAAAACGTGGTATGAATGAGAAGTCGCCCGGAGTTAGTATCAGTCAGTCAGGGAGGGGGGGGGCACCATGTGAGAGTGAGTCACCTGTACAGATGCTCATGAATTTAATAATAAATGGAGCGAGGTAGTTGTTTTGGTCAAACGGAAAGTCGCAGCGACGCGGACTTTCTCATAAACTCAACACACAATAGAGTTGTGATAAAAATTGCTCGCAGGAGATATACTCTGTTGGCCTACAACTTCGTCAATAAGCATTTTCAGTTTTGTTGCTAAACAGAAAAAGCTGTGAAGCAAAGTATGCTTGTAGACGATATTTGCAGAGTATAAAATCGACTATCGGTTGCACTGATAACAAATCCTTGGAACTTTAGTGTATACACTAATTAATATGATATGAAACTCATCTAATTTTGCATAAACTAGTACAATTGCGTATATGCTATCAGTGTCATAGAAAATCCTTTCCGATTTTTTTAACTCAATTTATCAACTGAATAATATTAGGATTTCTCACCAATTTTGCAAAAACGCACCTATATTACTAATTGCTACGCAAATCGTGCAAAATTTAGTCCTCCAGTCAAACAGAATTATGTGAATATTGGTCGAATTACGCAAGAATATTCTGACAACTGTGACCGATTTCCAAACAATCTTGCATGAAGAAGTACGGTTTTGCTAGATTCTTTCACAACCATGATAAACCTCCCGCTAGTTTAGATGTTAATATCAGTTAGATGTGAAAATCAGTCTCTGGATGTGTAACCGCACGTCCCGTGTTGATAGTTGGAATCAACATGGTTGACTACCTATAGCCCACTGGGTTTCGGTCCGAAGCGATTTATCAGTTGGGAACCTTGCTTCGTAAGCAAAATGTGACAAAACTTTGTAAAATTCTGCTGGCTTTGGGTAAATGCTACGAAATCGGTAACAGTTGCTCGAATAGTAATCAGTAATTCTGCTATTAGTGGCATAATTTTAATGTGTCACAGCATATTAACATCTGAACTAGCGGGAGGTTTATCATGGTTGTGAAAGAATCTAGTAAAACTGTACTTCTTCATGCAAGATTGTTTGGAAATCGGTCACAGTTGTCAGAATATTCTTGCGTAATTCGACCAATACTCACACGAGTCGTACTACGCAAGAATATTCTCAATTGTGACAGGTTTTTTGTAACAACCAGCACAGTTTTGCTAGGTACTACAAGAATTATAAATTATATTTTCAGAATTTGCCAAGTCAAGCGGAATCATCTGAACGTGAGCTTGCAGTAAAAATAATAAAAATCATAATAAAAATTCTTCTTACTTTAATATAGTGATATTTCGACTTTTCCAGTCATTTTCAAACAACACATAAACGAAGTACACAAAATGAAGTAACATACACTAAGAA